CGGTCCACCAACCCCATGAGACAGGCAGTTGCGCCCTGATCTCGGTCCAAGACGGCCAACGCCGTGTCCGGCACCTGCTCCGCTGCCAGCGCGGCTTCACGGGGATGCCCCCCCCGGACACGTGCTCATTCACTTTATGCCACCGTTGCATATCCGGATATGCAACGGTGGCATAAAGTGAATGATACACCGTCGCAGACCCACAGTCTGGGGGTGGGCCGGATACAGCACGGACGGTAAGAATGGTGGCGATAATCCAGTCGTCCGCCTCTACCGCCGGAGCTTCCACCTCGAGTCCGCCTGGACGCCAGGATCCGAATGGGCGAATCTCCGGAGAGGATGGCAGCGAGTGCTATTCCGCGAACTACCCCGGCAAGCCGCCCGCACAGCCGTCGCGAAGGGCATACCAGCGAGGCGGCACCAGGGCGGAGTCAAGCAACACGCACAGGACATCGCGGAAGGGCGGCGCCGACGACCGGCAGGGCTGAGCCTCACAAAGGAGCCGGCAGTCGCAGCGAGGCACGCGGCCCAGGCGAAAGGGGTAGCAGTCTGCGTACAGGCCACGGCACTCAAGGACGGCGCGAGCGCCGCATACGAGGGGAGGCTCGCAGACGAGATGGCAGCAGCCGGCGCAACCGGAGAGGCGCTCCTGTTCGCTCGGGCAGGAAGCGTCGACTTCTCCACGGGGCTAGGCGCACGCGCCCTCGGCATGCACGGCGCCGACGACAGAACCATCCAATACGCCGACTCCGACGCCGAGTGGCGACACGGAGGCCCGATATCACCACGAGCTTTGCGGCGGGACGCCTCTCAACAAGTATTGCAGCTAGACAGCGAGGTCGCCGCCTCGGGCGACGCGACCGCACCTAAGACGTCGTACGACACAACGATGCCACCCGACGGAAGGGATGCACTGGCGGACTTTGCGTCTGCTTGCGAGGGCAAGGGCAGAGCGTGGCGCGCCGAAGGCGACGCCGCCGTACGACTCGAGTGGCGGGAAGCCAAGACCATGAACGCAGACGTGACG